CTCCTGGCCTATGGGAGCTCACAGGGACACACCTGCCAGGGGCAGGAGCAGGGGATTGGCCAGCGGGCAGGCACCTGTGTGGGGCGGGGGAGCAGCTACATGTAAGGCGAGCCTGGGGCGCGCTGTCTCTTCCCTTCCCGCCCGCGCCTCTCCCTGAGCTGTTCCCATTGTCCGCTCTCTCGAAGCTTCCTGATACTGGCAGCTCCATCTACCTATGCATGGCTATATTTGATCTACTCCCTCATCTGAGTCTCACCTGATGGGAAGGCAGGAAGCTGGACCTCACCAAGGCCCTCCGAGCGTCTCTCCTGAGCGGCGCTGGAGACCCAGTCTTGTCTGAGGAAGGCCAGGCCAAACCCGTCCTGCTCCTGGCTCTGTTGACCACAGGCCCACAGGTATCAGGGTGACAGATACCAAAGCTCCCCCAAGATCCATTTGGAAGGCCTGGCTCACCTGGCCAGGGGGCCAAGCAGAGGGGCTGGGGGTGGGGAGAGGCCTCCAGCTGCCGCCTCCTCCTCCGCTGTGGAACCTGTCAGGGCAGGTAAGGGCGGGCAGGAGGAGGCCAAGCTGCAGGGAGAGGCCTTGCGGGGAGGCCGGGAGACTGCGTGGCCTGCACAGAGGAGGCCAGGCCATGGCAAATGGCAGATGGTTCGGAAAGGCTGGGGTCCATAGATCCTCAAGGTGGCGTTGGCGAGTGTAGTGTGGGGTTAGGACTCACGGAAGAAATCATGTCCCCTCTTGGAGGAGGTGGGCCAGACCAAGGGCGCGGCTGGGTGTTGGATGTGGAGCCATCTTGGGCCAGGCTCCGGGAGCCACTGGGGTCTGTGGATGCTTCCACAGGGTAGCAGGGCCAAGGAAGTGGTCTCTCTGGGTGGTGAGTATCCTCTGTCCACCAACTCCCAGACAGGGCTTCCAGACAGGGTGGGCAGAAGGCCGTTGAAGTCATGGACTGGGGAGGAAGGAAGACACGAGAGGGTTCACCTGCCTGCCTTCATCTGGCAACTACTTCTAGAAAATTATTTCCCCAGTTGGCCTTTGCCATGAAGGTTCACATCAGCACTGAGTGTCAGTGGGAAACCCATGTCTGTTGGTAGATTCTTTGAGTCCTCTTCTGGGAATGGATTGGTTTTTCAAAGGCCCGGGGCCCCAGTCAACTTTCTGGGCAGCAGTTGGCTGGGCAGCATGTGGCAATCAGAGCATGTGCCAGGCCGGTCTGGCCCAAATCAGGTCCTTTTCTACCCGCCTATTTCTGAGGCTCTGTCGAGGCCAAAGTCACCTCAGAAAAAGGCCTAGCACTTCCGGCCTTCACTTGGGTCCAAAGTCTGAGCAAAACAGTCTCTCCTGAGACACAGAGCAGCCACACAACAGTGATGGCAGCTCCGAACTTAACACCCAAAGGCCTGTTCCATGATCCAGTCACAAGGATGAGCCAGTCCTTGGCCATGCTAAAAGCTACGTGCTGATAATGTGATGGAGGGAGATTGATTTCCTTTGAGGATATATACCAGGGGCTTCATAAAGTTCGTGGGAAAATGAAATGTAAAGATAATGGAAAATTTCCACGAAATTTTTTAAACCCCCTCATATATAATGGGCAAAACCTCCAGGGCAGCAGAAAATGACATTTTAATTAAGTAATTGTGAGCATTGTGTGCCTTTTGCAGACTGAGCATCTGGAGACGAGGTCACTGTTAGTGATTAGTGTATTAAGCAGATGAAATATTTGGAAGTTGGAGCAATTGGCAGTGTACTGAATTAGGCAAAATAAGTTTTGCATTTATGGAAATGTAAATCATAAAACATGGACACCACGGGGGTGGGGGCTGATTTTTCAGATTTTTGGTAATTTGCAAATACCTTATTTGCAAAATCAGTTTGGAAGAAAAGTGTTTAATGTGGTTAGGAGAAAGTAAAGGGCGTGGGGCCAGCACCCACGCCACCTGGCACATGTGCTATGGGGCCGGAGCCCGTTGAGTGGAGTGCTGCCCCTGGCCAGCCAGGGTGAAGGTGGAGATGGTCGTCTTGCCTGCTCCCGGCAAATGGCGGCTGCCCCTCACAGACGCGTCCACAGGCTCTGGGAATCACCTGCCCACGCTCACCGCCCACTTCCCACCTCCGCCCGCCCCGCAGCTCTGCTCCAGGTTGGGCTGTGGGCCGCAGGGGAGAGGGTCGGGTTTCAATGCTTTGTTCTCTTCTCGGCCTTCACCATTGATTAAGGCCCGGTCGGGCAGGTTAACCAACGAGTTCGTTTTCACACTGGGATCGCGTTCCTGGTCCGGTGGGAGCCCCCCACCCACGCCCCTACACCTGTGCAGGTGGGACCCGCAGGTGAGCACAGGTTGGGTGCCCCCCTAGAGGGGTGTTTGCCTCAAGGAGATGAGGTGACAGACCCTTGACAAACTCCATTTTCCCAAGCTGGGCTGGTATGGCGGTGATGATTAACCCGCTGCCGGAGGGACCGGACCGTGACGGCTCTCTTCCTGGCCACCCCGGCCAGAGGCACTGCGACACTGGAGTATGGGTCGTGCTTTCACGTCGAGACTCGTACCTAGACTGTCGCCCCGGGAGCCCGCGTCCTCTTTGCCTCTCCCTGCCCCGCCCCACGGCACTGCCTCGTCTTGGAGCCCTTTTCCCCAGCTGGTTCCGGCTCCGGTTGGTGGGTGTCGCAGGACGACATGTTTTCCTGGCTCTTCTCGAGGAGTCCGTCCACCTCCACAGGTTCTGGTTCTGGGAGAACGGGGGTTAGTCTGGAACACAGAGGTTCTCCATGCCCACTGAGGAGGGCCTGTCTGCAGGTCTGTGTTTGCTCATCGTCTGTGTGTCCATATGTGTGACTGATGCCTCTCCTAGGTGAGAATCTAATGGTTGACAAGTTGGGTGTCTGGAGAAGGGTCAGTGGTCTAAACAGCCAAGGACATGGGGGTCTCTGGTTTCAGAGGCCACAAGATGGGAGGCCTGTGGTGTCCTGCAGTGGCTGGAGGATGTTTAGAGAGAAATGCTGGGCACCTGCCCAGCCCCCACAGCCTCTCTCCCTGCAGTTGGAGGGTAACGCAGAAAAAAAGAGAGGGTAATACAGACCTCCAAAGGCTGGAGGTGCACACCTATGCATGTGTGTGTGCGTGTCCTATGTCTGTGCACAGGTGTGTGTGAGTGTGCATGTCCATGTATGCGCACACATGAATATTCGTGTGTGCGTGTCCCCGTGTGTCCTTGCATTTGTGTCCATGTCTTTGTGCTTGTACGTGTTTGTGTGTTCATGTGTGTATGTTTGTGTGTCCCTTCCATGAGGAGGCACAGGAGGTAGAAGGGGATAGCCACAGTGTCAGCCGCCCCGAGAGAGAGATCTTTTTCAGTCTGGATGCAGAGTCACCTTTGAGGTGTCCAGGTGGCTGCAAAGCCCCAATCTATGCAGAGGATAGCATTCTAGCCCATTCTGGTCCATTCCAGCCTGTTCCAGCCTCGTGTGCTGAGCCTGCTCTGCCCGCCCCCTGGGCTTGAGCCCTCTGAGGTTGAAGAACCGGGTGGACTGGGTTAAGGCCTGAGGGGGGGCTGACAGGGACTTTGTTGTGGTCAGGCCTGGAGGCCTGTTGGGCGAGGGAGGGCCTTGGCCCCACCCCCTACTTCTGCACCCACAGCCTCTGTGGGAGGATGGGACATAAAGTCACAAGAAGCCCCTGACCCGTGCACACTGGGTAGGCACATAGACCAGGCCACAAGGAAAAGGGAAAAAGTACAGCTGGGTGGTCAAGACAATGGCCTGGCTCTAGGAAAATGTGGGGTGCAGAGGACATGCTCCAGGCTCCCAGAATCTCTGCAGGGCTACGTGTGATGGACCACTGATCCATGCAGGACCCCAAGTCCCTGAGCTTTGGGGGCTGGGCCCAGAGCCGCCCACTCCCTGACCCCCACCCCATTCTAGATTCCCCTGGTCAGGGTGGAGCCAAAGTGAGAGCATCCACAGGTTGGCTTGGCCTGGGGGTTGGCACTCTGTGCTGGGGCTCACTGTCCCATTACTGTTGGGTTGAATCCCGGAGCAGGTAGGAACTGACCACTGTGACGGTAGCACTGCCCACTCTGACCCTCCTGTGGCTCAGTACTGTCTCATCTGCATGACCCCAGGGCCACCGGGCATAGGGGTCAGGGGGTGAGTTAGACAGGCAGGTGAGAGGTAAAGTCTCAGAAATGGCCTTGGCCAGAACCCATGGGGTGTCTGTATCTGGAGACCACCAGAGGCACCCACCCTCTGGCTGCCCCATCCCCTCTCTGAGGAGTTTTTGGTACACAGCTTGCAGACACTAAGGGCCCATAGGGACTTCTAAGGGATGGAATTGTGCAGGTACATCCCTTGTATTGCCCATTTGGAAACCAGCATTTTGGGTGTGGAGGGGCTCAGGCTCCAGGGAGGATACTGGGGTTTTGGTGGGGAGGGTCTTCTCATGTGGGGGTCCCACCCTCCTGGAATCATGCTTACCATGGTCCAGCCACCCCAATCCCTGTCCTGACACCCTTCCTACCAGACTGGGCCCGAAGGAGCCTGAGCCGTCGCCCTTGAGAAGGACAGGTGGGGGCTGGGCCCCATGGCGGTTGGACTAGGCAGTCAGGGTGGTGGGGGAGGGTGGGGAGACAGAGGTTCATTGTCCACCAGTCTCAGACACAAACATACACACACAGCCACTTTCATGCTTACTGATGTTGGCCCAGCCCCTCTCACACTGGCATGCATAGAGATGCATGTGGGGACCCAAGGGGCTGGCTCTGGTGTCCTGGGGGGAGGGCCCCCTGCCTTGCTCCATGTCTCTATCAGGTGGGGCTGCGTGGAAGTATGGGTGCACCTGTCTTCTGATGTCACTGCCCCAAGGACATGAGGCTCAGCCTCAGGCTGCTGAGGGCCCTGAGCGCCCTCAGCCAGTCGGGCGGCCCTAGACTCACTTGGGGGCGGCCATCGCCATCTTACTGGGCAGCATTGGATGGTGTTGGTGTTCTAATACTGCCTGGTAATGATGACGGCGGGGCCCTGCACGCAGCGACGGGGCCGCCCCACCACCTCCCTCCTGCTGGGCCCTCACGCCTCCCATCCTGTCCTGCCCACACAAGCTTTGAGGCGGGGCTTCGTGGCAGGAACTGGACCTGGGGAGATGGGGTATGGAGCTAACTGCCGCCCCTGAAGGAAGGACTCTACAGCCCACGGACCTGGGTGACCTTGAGGGGGATTAGGATGCTCAACCCATGCTAAGCTGTTGTCCTGGTCCAGCTCTTGTCACCCAAGCAGGTGCTGCTGGCATGCCTGGCGGGGGCTGGGCCAAGCGGCACCACAACAAAGGCTGAGAAGGCCAAGGCTGCACAAGCCAGCGGCACCACCACAGGGCTGAGAAGTTGCTGGATCTGGGGTAGTCAGACTGGCCCTGCCACTTATCCTGGCCCCCAGCCCAGGCAACTTCCCCTTCCTTCCTCCTCCTGCACCCTAAGGGGTCGTCCGGGGCACATAGAACAGGTGCTCAGAGTAGGTGCAGTGTGTGGGTGCATCATGGATCTTGATGAGGTGCATGGGCACTTTACAGCCCTACAGGGCCCAGTGGGCCTCCATCCAGGAGCCCAGGTCAACTGGGTCCAGGCCTCTCACTGTGGAGAAAGCAGAAGGGAACGGTCACACAGGGCTCCATCTTTCTACCACCTCCTGTCCACCCAGGGCCCTACCATCAGGGACTAAGTCCTCACCGTCCTCAGGCAGAGGTGCTCTGGGCCTCTGTGGACATCTTACCGGACAGTGCTGGATTTCTCGGCTAGACTCTAACACTGTCTGGTAACGATGTTCAAAGGTGACCCACCCGCTCACCAGGACACGCCTGAGGACGCGCCGTTCAGATCTCCTAGACCCCGGGGGATGGGGGCCGAGTTGGGATGGCTAAGAATGTGTGTGTGTGGGGGGGTAGCCTCTGCTTGTGGTGCATCTCAACCATCCCTCTAGGTCCAGCTGGGGGAGATTGACAGTGGGCATGGCTCTGCCTCTCCAGAAGACCTGAGGAGGGCATCTCACGCCCCTAGCCCTGCCCCTTGCCCCCTGCCCAGTCTGGGTTTTGGAGGTTTGGCCTCAGCAGAGACCACCAGGTCTTAACAACCAACCTCACCTTGGGCCCCTTGATTACCACTGGCTCTAACGCTGCCCTCAAACCCTGCCTGAGTGGGCAACCACCCTCACCCATAGGTTGAAATTTGACTGTTCTTAGGACCCTGGTGTGGGCCTCGAGTCAAGTAGGACTAACCAAGGCTATATTCCCTTCCTGTGTGGCCAAGTGCTTTAAACCAGCCTCCCCTGCTGGCCAGCTGGACAGAGAGTCAGTGGAGATATCTCATTGCCACACAAGGCAATGTGTCCACAGTGCATGGAGTCCCTTCTCCCACCAGGACACAGTGGGGTGGGAACTTTGTCCACAGTTGGGTGAGCACCGGATTACCTACTGTTTCATCCTTTGATCCAAAGCCAGGATGAGGCCCAACCTGTGCTTGGCAGCTCTGCCCACCACTGGGCCCCGGGGGAGGAGGAAGGGCAAGAGTGGGGCTGTCTGAGTCCTGAGGTCATTCATTAACTGGTGAATGAAGGAGCCTTGGGAGCCCACATCATGGCGGCCAGCCACTGATGCCATCCACCCAAGACCCAGCGCACAGTGATGATGGCGTCCCACTCCCACCTCCCAACATTCACCCTACCAGGATCGAGGTCCTGGTGGGAATCACTACAGCATCCTGGGGTGACGGCGGGCAGAGACACCATCCTGGACAAGCCACACCATGACCACGGACCCAGTGAGACCCCTATCGCCGGCTGACGGGCGTCTTACCAGGCAAAGTTAGATCTGGATCCTTCTGTCTAATACTGTCTGGTAATGCCGTCTGTCGCATGGCCGTCGACACCTGAGAGCATGCCCGCCGCCACCCCCCAGACTAATTGCTCACCCACACCAGAGCTGGCCTGGACTCTTGGAGGTGGTGTGGGCCTTTGTGAGCCCACCGTAGGACCCTCCCCACAATCAGGGGCAGTAAGTAGTATGTGCATCCCAGTCCCCTGACCCTGCCAGGTGACCCCCAGACCCTTGTCCTGAGTGACTTCCATTGTTGATGGAATAAAGCGTGTGGTGCTCCAAGATGGCTTCTGTCTGTTCACGGGCCCACCTCACCTACATGTATCAGCGGTCCTTCAGATACAGCCTGGCCCCCACAGCAGCCTCCTGAGAACTGTGTAGCCATTATGGCTGCTGAAGCTGGTCTGGGGCCAGAAGGGGCCCCACCCTGAACCCTGTCCAAGGATGTAGCCTCACCCCTCATCCCTTCACTTCTACCTGGACCGGGGCCCAGAGAGGGACAGACAGGAGGGGCCGGGCTCCACAGTGTCTAACCCAGGACAGGAGAGGAAATGTGGCCCTTAGGGGGTCAGTGGGAAGCCCCCTGAGCCCTCTGCCACCCTAAGCTTGGTGGGCTGGGGAACAGGGTTTCACAGATGAGCCCTCGGCCACCCTAAGCTTGGGGGGCTGGGGAACAGGGTTTCACAAATGAGCCCCCTGCCCAAGTTGAGAGATGTGGAGTACAGAGAGGTGCAGGGGTTAATTTCAGATAGTCCAAGTCTGTTCAGGGGTCTTCAGATGTTCCCACACTCCCCCAGAACATGGGTGTGCAGCACCAGGGACCTCAGGGCAGAGGAAGACCCTGAGGTGTGCTGCGCAGATGGTGTACAGACAGCCCACTCTTCCACAGGGCCTCAGCTCAGGGCAGCCCCTAGTCTCCACAGGCCTACCTCATGGATCTGGGTGGTCAGGACCTCCTTGTGCAGGGGGCAGGAGTGGGACATGCAACCTCTGCCCCTACCCCATCAAGATGTCTTGTCTCTAGCCGTCCCCAAAAGCACACACGTCTGGGTCCTGAACCAATCTCAGTCTCATGGCTGCCCCCACCAAAGCTCTTTCCTCCCCCCTGAGAATTCAGAGTAGTTCCTCAGGGTCCTGAGCAACAGAACTACAAAGGACAGGCTGAGGCCAGTGCCCTGGCACCTTCCCTTCAGCCAAGAGGAGTCCAAGCTGAGGGAGCCACAAGGAGCGGGCCCAGAGCTTAGAGGGGTGCTGGTGGCTTTCTCCTGTCTCCTTTCCTTTGTCCCCCAGCTTGTCTCACTAAGCACTCCAGCAGCAGGGGTCCCTGCCTGAGAGAAACAGGTGTACAGATTCAGGCCATGGAGACACTGGCACAGGTGGTGGGTAAGGATGGGGGAGGAGAGCCAGCAGACCCCGCAGGGTCACTGAGTGCTCCCCACTCAGCTGTCCAAGAAACCCCAGTGGCCCCAATGCCAGAGGAAGGGGCAGCCCCAACCCAGATGGAGTCTCAGATAATGGGCAAAGGGGTCAACTTGCTGTATAAACCTGACCTTTGGGGAGACCCTCACTCACTGCCATAGGAAGGCCCACCATGGCCAGCAAAAGGGCCCCACTGTTCAGGCTGCAATGGACACTGCCTTTGATTCTAGCCATGGCCACACCAGAAGGTTAATGATAATGATTCTTCAACATGATTGCCCAGTGGACCTCTGTGGGAAAGGCCAGTCTGGCGGCATCTGCAGCACCCAGTTTTTCTGGTTTTGAGCAGGGGACATGTGCCTTCCAGAGTTCTCGGAACACTCATGGGGGGTGTGTGTGTGTGTGTGTGATCTGCTTCCCTAGCACCAAAAGGCACTAGGGGCAATGGGGTGCTGTAAGAGGACCCCTACCTTGAGGGCATACTCGGCACCCCAGAACACACCCACCAAAAGGTGTTCCAGTTCCAGCCCTGGCAACTCTGACTCCCAGGGTTCTTGGAGGGGGACCCATGGGATGGAGCCAAAGGGTATTCCTCAGAGCAAGGTCAGGGGGCCTCAGGAACAAGTGAGACCCTTGTGACCCTCACTAATGCAGCTAGAGGGTCTCAAGCAAGGAGGTCTTCAAGGCAGGGGTTGGAATGAGGGCAATAGAGACAGAAAGCAGCTAGGCCAGGAACCTGGCCTGCTCTGGCACCCAAACCCAGGTTCAAGTTTCTCTGTCTTCTGTACTTCCTGGGAGAGGTTCCCAATGAAATACAACGCTATACCAAAGAGGATATTCAAATGGCCAACAAGCATGTGAAAAGATACTCAACATCACTAGCTATTGTTTCCATTGTTGTTAGGTGCTACCAAGTTCTATTTCTTCTCATAGTGACAGAAGGAAACACTGCTCTGTCTTGCACCATCCTTACCATCGTTTAGACCATTGCTGCAGCCACTGGGTCAATCCATCTCATTGGAGGTCTTTTTCGCTGACCTATTACTTTACCAAGCATGATGTCCTTCTCCACAGACTGGTCCCTTCTGAGAATATGTCCAAAGTATCTGAAATGAAGTCTTACCATTCTCACTTCTAGGGAGCATTCTGACTATACTTCTTCCAAGACAGAATCTTTCTTTTTTTTTTTTTAAGTTTTTATTGTGAATTGAATGATAGTTTTACATAGGGGAACATCAGTTCATTTCACTGCAACGATTACAATCCTCTGCATGCTTCATCATTCAACAGTATTTGCTTCTATTCACTCTGCGGTTTTTTTTTTTTTGGATGTGTACCAAAACATTCAGGAATATATAATCATTCAAACAGCTAAAGGCTGCCCCCCAGCCACCAGCACACATCCCCTCTCCCTCCATGAGTCTGGAATCCTCAGCTGCTCCATCTCTCCATGTCATTGTCATCATCTCTGCCTCCATTTCTGGTGTTGCCGCTTCTCTGGGTAGGGTCCCATACTACGTTCCTGCTCTTTTCCCTTGAAGGTCTCAAGGTCCTCCGCTCCAGGACTGTAAGATTGACCACTCACCCCTTTTTGCTACAAAACTCCTACCTTTACAGTTGTGACTATCGCAATTAGTTATAACAATTGCTCACTATTGAATCATGAGAGTCTTGTCCCCATCTCCTTTCACCAGACCTGTCTTGTTGTTGTTGTCAGGTGCCATCGAGTTGGAACCGACTCATAGCGACCCCACGCACAGCAGAACGAAACAATGTCCGATCCTGGGCCAACTTCACTGCCACTGCCACACTTGAGTCCATCAATGATGCCACCTGTCCAATCCATCTCGTTAGGGGTCTTCCT